CCCGTCGCAGAGGGGGACCGCCCGTGTCCCCCAAGGCGCCCCCGCCATCGAGGGTGGTGAGGGAAGAGGAGCTGCAAGATTTGTTTCTGGCAGGAAAAGGTGCCTTCCACAATCTCATGAGCTCCTCATGCACTTCCGGGAAGAATGACACCAAAGGGGGGCGCGACCCCCACCGACGAACCACTCATCCACAGGGATTAAAGTTCTCCGTCGCTACGATGGATTTCCGTTAATTGCAGCGAGTCTACGACGGATTTCCGTCAATTGGAAAAAGTGAGGGGAAAAGGAACATTTAGCGCATTGTTGTTGCTGTTGTTCTGCCGGCCGGCACACCAAAAATCATACCCGCCACGGCTGCAGCTTTTCATTGACAACATAGTGATGCCATTCGCATCATTCACAGTCGGGTTATTAGCAGAGAACACAGAGCAGGACTTGAATTTCGGTGCGGGATTGCGGCTATTAATAACAATTCTACTCATTCCCGCAGGTTCCGCGCTTATAACACGATGACAGATGATGGAACGTATCATTTGCACGTGCTTTCGCGTCTTGAGATCTCATTTTCTGTGCGCCCACAGATCACGATAAGGAGAGTGACAGCTTTTAATAATTATTAAGGGAGTTTGCCAATGTGACATTGATTCAATACAACAGTTCAGTAAACAAGTACTGCCTGATTTTGCTCCATTTCTTTAACGAAAATAGTTCAAAATAAAGTAACAGCTCAGCCGCTGCGCATCTCTAAAAGCAAACACAGCGGTGTTTCATTCATTCAATGAAAGTGCGTTTTTGAACGAATCTAGTGAGTCAGTGATTCATGATTACCCGTTCATAAAGACAGCCACTTGCTTCATTCCTGAATGAATCAGCCGTTTCGAACGAATCAATTGAATTAATGATTCAGTGATAAAATCAGTGACTTGTCGCCATCTGCTGGCGGATTTAGTTTCGTTTTTAGCGTATAATTTCAGTTATTTAAATCATTTAATATTTCTGTATTCAAAATGTTATATTTAAAACATTAATCTCCCCATAAATGTATGAATTTAATTGCACTCATGCCACCTCTGAGCCTCATTAAACGTCTGAAAATGTACCTACAAGCTACTTTTGTGTTCTTCTGTGCCACCTCTGTAGTACAAATAAGTTTTTTATTAATACTAATTTCATATGATTGTTAACCTATTTGTCTTATTCTACTTCTTATTATATTGTTTTAAATAGAAGTTTTAAAAAGTTTATAAGCATACATTTTGACAGATGAAAAAGATGCCATTACACTTTGAGTCAAATGTCACCTCGTATTAGGAAGGCTAATTTTTTTATCAGAATTTTTTATTATTGATCAGAAGGTGCTCCT